CCAGCACTCATGAACCGACAAAGAGAAAAAAAACCTAACCTTACCCCAAACAAACCCATCTACGGTCAAGACCACCCGTGTTGACTCTTCATACATCTCGAGTTATTGAGAGTTATTGCGGGTGGCAGAAGTCCATCCTGAGGTAGACCACCGCGGGACGACCTCTACTTGTATATTCAAATACTCAAGCGGCCCGGGACTACTAAGGTAAGGTAAGAGGCCTTTGTCATTAGCGGAAAGTAAGTGTCGGAAGATTATAGACTTGAGGAGGTAGGTAGCGAGGTAGTGATGGGGAAATGGGTGGTTGTGGTGCATGAGAATGGTGGTGGTGAATGTGGTAGGGTGGTAGGGAGGGAGGGAGGGAGAGAACGTACAGTTCAGTTGGTTGGTAGGTATGCTGAAGAGAGGGTGATGGTGGTGGTAGTGTTGGTGGTGGTGGTGGTAGTGTTGGTGGTAGTGTTGTTAGTGGTGGTGGTGGTAATGCTGGTGGTAGTGTTGTTGGTGGTGGTGGTGGTAATGCTGGTGTGGTGAGTGTTGGTGGTGGTGGTGGTGGTGTGCTGGTGGTAGTGTTGGTGGTGGTGGTGGTGGTATGCTGGTGGTAGTGTTGGTGGTGGTGGTGGTGGTAATGCTGGTGGTAGTGTTGGTGGTGTTGGTCGTGATAGGGAATAAAGTGGATAAAAGGGGGGGGGGGTACTTGTAGTGATGTTAGATGGTGGTGACTGTGATGAGGGTAGTAAGTAGAGGAGGTTGTGGTAGACTGAGGATGATTGTGGTAGGCAGAAGTGGTTGTGATACGTAGGAGCTGTTGTAGTGGATGAAAATGACAAGTTGTAATTACAGTAAGGTAGATACACACATTATATATGCTAAGTAAGTGATACCTAGTGACAACAGGTGATGGTTGTGGTGAAAATAACAGTTGATGGTGATAGTTGTGGTTGTGGTGGTAGGTGACCGCAGCTACACCAGAGAGGAAGTATGACGAGAGTAACACAGAACCTCGTCGTCTCTTATAGTGTTCCAAAGAAAGACATCATCACAGCTCTAACACACACACACACACTGGTCAGGAGACGTGCGAGGAGAAAGAAGAGTAGGGGAGGGAAAAAGTAGGCGGAAGGAGGAGAAGGGGTAGTGGAAGGAGAGGGGCAGGGAGAAGGGGAGGAGGGGGGCGGGGAGAGGCTATCCTGGGGTTAAAAACGATAATCCACTTTTTCTTCCTAACACTTAAACTCAGATGTTGCCACCAGCTGATAAACCCAGACTCGTTCACCTGTGCAAATGGCTAATTACTGCCGATGAGAGTTTAATGTGGGGTTCAGTTTTCTCTATTTGGCAATGAGTGGGTGAGGGGGAAGGGGAACTAGGTAACCTATTACTCACCCCTTCCCTCTCCTCACCCCTTCAAAAATATCCCGGATTCATAAGACCAATTAAATGAACAGAACAGGTTTATTGTTTATTATGATTAATGTTCCAGAATATGATAAAGTGTGGTATCATGAGCAACCGGGCGTGTGTGAGGTGATCATTTATCATCTTACCATAGGTTATAACTTGAATGCATCTAAGCAGTAATCTCGCCCAGTCCTCCCCCGCGTCAGTGACACATTAATCTTGTTTACACGTTATTGTCATGTTCGAGTTTTATTCTCTAATTTCAGTATATTTATCGGTTTCCTTTAAGACCTGATGTTACGTGGGTTTAGTTTTCCTTGTTTTTTTCTTCAGTTCTCCAGTGAGGTAATAACTTATTTAACCAACTACACACTCGTAGCCAAGACGCTGCCTGACTGTTACTACATAGGTCCGTGTTGTGTTGGCCCGCCTGTGTTCCTATACCGACCCATTACATCACGTTAGGATGTGGTTGATGTTTTGTTCTCATTCTTTACACATCATTTGGCCGAGAGTTTTGTTGGAGAGGTCAAAAGCTCTGTCAAATTTGTCATTAAGAGGAACAAAGATTGACCAGTTCTTGTCCTCTGATGTACAATAGCTAAAACAACTATCTGTGCAGGTGGAGGTCGATGTGTTCAGAAATTTTATGTGTGACTAGTGACAGCCCTCATATACCATAATTTATCGTCCCTGGTCTCATATTGTTTCCCACAAAGTATACACAGATAGTTGTTTTAGCTACTGTACATACCTGCATGAATACCTGTGTGAAATGACGACAGTTGCAACTTCATCTTGTGTCACTTTCACATTACGCAAACATATCTTGGTATTAGCTTCAATCAGTAACATACTATACGTCAGGTTGGTAGCAATAAGTGGCTGGAGGGACGACAGGACGCCAATTACATCTTAATTATAAAAAAACAGTTAAATAATAGCACAAAAGACCGCGTGGTGCACTTTTGAGTTCTTATGATAGAAGCTTTTAATTTTTTGGCCACTGCGTTCCTGGCGCCGCCTACACACGCCTGACTACTTTTTCTTCCTATCCTCCCCCAAGCAGAATACCATAACTCTTACCACGTTATAATGAACGAGTTAAACACCATACTTAACATAACTCCGTCGTAGAGGCCTAACAACCATGAGTACTGTGAACATCAGAGGTGAGAGACGTTTATCGATTGTCTAACAAGATTTTATCAATATCGCCTTATCCTCCTGATCACACGACCCTGGAGACTCATGGTAGGATTGCAGTATTTGTGTCGTTTCTTCAGGCAAGTAAAGATCCTATGACATTAACGACATAAAGAGACGAGAATGTAAGATATTTTTGTTTTTTGTAAGATAGCAGTCGTGTCTTGCTTTGGGAGTTTATGAGTTGGTCCAGCGGCAAAAATGATATACTCAAACCATGGGGTAGTGAGAGGCAGGAATAGAATTAACAACCCACACTTTAGCCTAGATAATGATAACCTAAAGTTGACTGTCTCACCGTCAGGCGCCATGATCACCCACACAATTGCACTAAATAAAAAGTTTACAAGTTATCCGTAAGTAGGTCAGGCCGAGTACAGTGTTCGATTAAGTAAAAGAACATTAACAATATCCAGTAACAACGTCAAATTAAGGGTTTGTCGGGTTATTGTTCAAAATCAGTAATAATACGTTTAGTTCACATCCCCGACAACACTATACAGAAAACGGAACCATTCATACAGTTAATTATACAGTCATGACAGTTTTCCCCAAATATTCAGGTGTACACGTAGATTTACAGTAATTTACAGGTTAAATGTACCGGTGATGTGAGACGAAGTTATATGAAGGGTAATGAAGTGCAGGTACAGATAGAAAGCACAGATACAGATAGAAAGCACAGGTACAGGTATAAAGCACAGGTATAGATATAAAGCACAGGTATAGATATAAAGCACAGGTATAGATATACAGTACAGGTATAAAGCACACACTCCAAACACAGGTGTCAGATCCATTTAATGCCAGTAACACGGGACAAAACAAATCGTAGTAATGGCAGGTAATAAAATATAATTAGAGACATTAAAACGACGTTCTTCAAGCAGGAAAAACATGCAAAATTATTTAGTACCCAAAACACACGTGTGTCTGGTTTTTTCTCGTCTTAACAGAGTACCGGTGGTGTCAGACCTTCCTGGTGCCCCCTTTAGGCGAAATTACAACGCGTAGACTTTATTTTTTTGTGCAGGTGAATAGTACAGACACTTGTATAAAAGACATATATATACGGGTTAGAGAGACAGACAGACAGAGGTAAGACAGACACAGAGATAAGACAGATAAGTAAGAAAGACAGGTTAGACAGTCATTTAAATATCCCCAAGTAATGCATTAGGCTCCTTTAGTAACATGCACACTTCACGTATCGAGAAGACAATGTTTACTGAGGTTCACGGAGGCGACAGGTAAACACGACTGAAGAATCTTAACCAAAACGTTACCTGGACAACGCTGGAGGACACACACACACACACACACACACACACACACAGAACCTCTAACCACCTGTTTGTTTCCTCACCTCGTTCCTCCTCCCCACCACAACTCTCTCTCTCTCTCTCTCTCTCTCTGTCTTTCTCTCTCTCTCTCTCTCCTATTTAAAACACACCTCACCTTTATACCCACCCCCTCCCATCCTCACGCCCCCCTCCCAACATCATAACCCCCCTTTACCCCCCTTTACCCACCCTTCCCCCCTCCTTTCTCGCCTCTTAACACACAACCCTCCCCACTGGCTCCTCCTACCCCTTTCATTCTTCCCTCCTCCTCCTCCTCCTTTCTCTTCCCCTTCCTTCTCTCACCAATTCCCTTTCCCCTTCATTCTTCGTCCTCTTAGTCTTTATTCTTCCATCCCTTATTCCCCCTCCTCCTCCTCCTCACCTTCTTCCTCTCCTCCCATCTTCTTTCACCACTTCCCTTTCTCCTTCTTTCTCCTCCCCCCCCCTCTTCCTCTCCCTCACACAGACGCCACTAGCTAACAATCAAGTAAACACTCGAGTCAGTCAGTCACACTTCAGGAGACCGTTTAGGAGACCATTCGTGGAGACCATACAAGGAGGTCGTATTCCAGGACACAATTCTAGGAGATCATTCAAGGAGACCACTTAGGGAGACCATTCATAGTGATCTTCTAGGATTCCAGTTTGGTGGCCATCTAAGGAGATTATTCTAGGAGACCATTCTATAAGACCATTATACCAGAGACCATTCTAGGAGACCATTATACCAGAGACCATTCTAGGAGACCATTATACCAGAGACCATTCTAGGAGACCATTATACCAGAGACCATTCTAGGAGACCCCTAAAATCAGGGTTATCTATGGTAAGCAAGGTCACTCATGGCCTAGGGAAATATCACTCGTAGTAAGGAATGGTCACTCATGGCAAGGAAATGTCACTCGTAGCAACGGAAATATCACTCATGGCGGGAAAAAGTCACTCATCGTAGACAAGGACGCTAATGGCAAGAAATAGTCATTCATGGCAGATAAAGTCACCCATGGCAAGGAACGGTCAACCAAGGTCGTTCATGGTAGGTAAGAGATCCCATGAGCATCGCCAGGAGTCATCGGAGATCACAAGCAGTTAGTGAGAAATTACCTGAACTCAAGGTTAATAGACAGCCACCAGGTACTACATCTCGTCTACTATATGATCAACAACTCACTAAGTCCTCCCCACATCTCCAACTGGACGTGTTCCATTATCTCCTCTCCCCAATCATCTAATTAATTCCCAAGGCATTTAATTTGCTCGCCAGTTTCCTTTCCTCCACATTCTTACTTCCCCCTCACACTCCCCTCCCCTCCCCACACACACTCTCTCTCTCTCTCTCCTCACACACACTCTCTTCTCTTCCCACACACACTCTCTCCCCTCCCCACACACACTCTCCTCCCCACACACACACACTCTCCTCCTCCCCACACACACTCTCTCCCCTCCCCTAACCTCCCACGTAATTGGGTGAACAGCCCGTCTATCCAGTTAGAGCGAATTGGAGTGACAATCATCTGGTATCACTACAGCCGTCTACCTGCGTGTTGACTACCGTGACGTCACCACACCTGTATACCCACGTGTTGCATTAGTCACGTCACGGCAGCAACACGCAGGTATACGGCAGCAGTGACGTGGAGCCGATAACCAGTAGAAACTAATCCACAAATACGTTACTAATACAGAACTTTATATATCCCTGTGTATATAACTAGTAAATCCTCATTTAATTAATAATGGTAAGGACTGTACAAGACAGGTTACATCGTCTTATTCCATTATGGCACAGTCACCCTTTGAAATATCTTCAAGAAATCGGAAAATAAATCCTTTTTCGCCAGGTGAACTTTGTTTATTGCCAGACAGCCGATGGCGCAACAACTGGTGGTGAAGCTGGACACTATTCTCACTAATGGCGTCTGGTAATTTAGAACAGTGTATTGCCTATACATATAAGTCAGTAACAGGATATAGACCACAACACTGGAGGAACGACAGCGTGTGTGACTCGGGTCGAATCTCCAGATGGTTGAGGAAGGTCTCTTTTATTACAGTATATTATTAAGCAATATTCCTCACACACCTCAAGTATTTAACCTCATACTCATAAGTCATTCATACATTTCATACATCTTCAATACACTTGTCAACAATCATACACACTCATAGTACATGTCACCCACAGTCTTAATAATCTTCCCTAGAAATATTTAATAGATAAGGGTAATTAAACCACGTCATGTTACGTCTCTCTCTCTCTTCTCTCTATCTCTACGTCTCTTCTCTCTCTATCTCTCCCTCTCATTCACCGTAATGTACAGACGAGATAAGGTTCTGACAAATCTTCCTTTTCCCCTTATCATCTGGACTTTCCTCTCACCAAAACCAAGATGACAGCAACAGGTCAAGAGGCTGTGTGGTCGTAGTTTTATTTATTATGGCCGTGAGTTTATGCTAGTTAGTTTTTACTGTGCATTCATTATCACTAGACAACGTTATCATAGCTAGTTGTTAAGGGTCAGTTTAAAGTCAAGGTTATAAAAGCTAGAATCTTAAACCAACGCAAGAAAAAAAAATTCCAACGCTATCCTTAGCTCTGGGGTTTATTGTTGGTGATGCTATGTAAAGTAAAATCATTATTATTTATCATTATAACTTTTATAATTTTCTCCTTCAGATTATTATTATAACATATTTTTCATCTTTATCATCAAATATTATTTTATCGTTATCATTATTATCATACTTACGTTCAAGATTAAGAAATTATAACCAAAACAAAAATAAGTTGTATAATTTTGTTGGTAAAAGTTCAAAGTCACAACAGTAAATCTGGAACCAGCTTCGCCTCAAGCTTTACCGGGTACAGTAAATGTCAATCAACTAATCGTTCCAGTTGGTGCTTGTATCAATAGACCCTAGTTACCTACTACTTTAAAGAATTGTTCGAATATCATTGTTAATTGATTTACCGTCGTTAAGCTATCGTTGCTATTATTGACGATCCTAGGCTGTGTCAACTGGAGGGAACACACAAGCAACACGAACCACTCTCAAATAATCTTTTTTAACTGATCATTACTCAATAAATTCGGACCTAAACTAACACCTTGAGGGGGAAACGTGATCTAACGAGGTCTGGCAAACATGCATGTAAACAATACGGACGGAAGGTCGCACCAGCATACAAAGTTTAAGTGAATTTCGCTCTAAAAATCTTCTAAGTAAACTTCTCTACCAAGTGGGATTGTGGATGCCATATTTATATTATTTTTACCGTAAAGGGGATAAAGGGTGGCACTAAGGGGTAAGAGGTGGCATTAAGGGAAAAAGGGTGGCATTAAGGGGTAATGGATGGCACTAAGGGGTGACAGTAAGGGGTAAGGGGTGGCAGTAAGGGGTAAGGGGTGGCAGTAAGGGGGTAAGGGGTGCCAGTAAGAGGGTAAGGGGTAGCACTAAAGGGGTAAGGGGTGGCACTAAGGGGGTAAGAGGTGGCACTAAGGGGGTAAGGGGTGACACTAAGAAGGTAAGAGGTGGCACTAAGAGGGTAATAGGTGGCACTGAGGTGGTAAAGGGTGGTGTTAAGAGTAGACACTGAGAAGGTAAAGGGTGGTGATAAGAGTAGGCACTAAGAGGGTAACGGGTGACACTAAGTGGTAATGGGTGGCACTAAGGGAGGCACTTTGGGTAAGAATGTGAGACTTGAGTTTATTATTGTTTGTAATTACCGTCTCAGTCGAGGCTCCAGAAGAGGTGATGAGAGAGAGAGAGAGAGAGAGAGAGAGAGAGAGAGAGAGAGATACACAAGAGAAGATAGTAGAAGAGAGAAGGAGAGACGAGATAGAAGAGGAGAGAAGTGACAACCATTACATATTATAATTGAGATCTTGAAAACATTTTATATATAGAAGGCAGACATGATAAAAACACAGACATGCACATACAGTACACACACGCACATGGCACGTATACACAAGGATACACACACGTTAACTTACACCTACCTACACTTGTGCATTACAAACACAGCTGCTCTTCATAACTACACCTGTACTTCATACCCACACCTGTAATATATACCCACACCTGTAATATATACCCACACCTGTAATATATACCCACACCTGTACTCTATACCCACACCTGTACTCTATACCCACACCTGTAATATATACCCACACCTGTAATATATACCCACACCTGTAATATATACCCACACCTGTAATATATACCCACACCTGTAATATATACCCACACCTGTAATATATACCCACACCTGTACTCTATACCCACACCTGTACTTCCGCCGACACTTCGAGACCAGTTCCTGTAATACTCTACCACCACTACCAGACCCACAGTAACTCTTCTTCACGTAGTTCCTCCTCCTCCTCTTCTGCTTCCATTTGGTGTCCATGATAAACTTTTTTTTTTAATGTTTTCTTTTCTCTCGTTGTAATTTTCTTCTTAGTGGTAATTACTGTGTTCCTTTTATGTTCTTTCTCGACCACCTATACACCAGGGTAGGTCGTCGCCAAAGATACCAGAGACAGAACTCCGACCGTTCGGCTTCTCTTGCTTCAGTGCCTTATAAAACATTCCCGGGATTTAAGTTAGTGTATTTGTGTTCTCCCAAGACGTCGTCATCAGCACGAGAACCAATCAACGTTTCCTGCTGTTAGTGACCTCGAACTCTTCCTTCCGCTTTCTTCAGGAGATCGTCTTCCTCGCCACCAGCTGCAGCACGTCCACACCACCAGCTGGAACATGTCCTCACACCACCAGCTGCAGCACGTCCACACCACCAGCTGGAACATGTCCTCACACCACCAGCTGCAGCACGTCCACACCACCAGCTGGAACATGTTCTCACACCACCAGCTGCAGCACGTCCACACCACCAGCTGCAGCACGTCCACACCACCAGCTGGAACATGTCCTCACACCACCAGCTGCAGCACGTCCACACCACCAGCTGGAACATGTTCTCACACCACCAGCTGCAGCACGTCCACACCACCAGCTGCAGCACGTCCACACCACCAGCTGGAACATGTCCTCACACCACCAGCTGGAACATGTCCTCACACCACCAGCTGCAGCACGTCCACACCACCAGCTGCAGCACGTCCTCACACCACCAGCTGCAGCACTTCCTCCCCTGGAGAATGCGCCAACAGCTAAAAAATAAAGTCTGTAAGCAGCTGAAGAACTTGGTGTACAGAGTTGGTTATCTTATAATTAAAATTTACGATCGGTGTTGCCTGCGATAATGGGAAAGGAAACGATCGTATCTACTCCAGTGTGGCAACAAATTGTACTCTTCGTTGCCATCGAGAACCTGTACGATTTTTGGGGGACTCGGAATGTAGTACGACGTCTGTGGTCCTGTCAACCTACAAGACGGACGAGGGTACTGTACAGATACGGAATATATAGATAATACAGTATGTGTGTGTGTGTGTGCGCAACCTGTCTGCATCTCCACAGTTTTGAAGATAAAAAAAAAGAGCTGAAACTTCGTTGGTAGGGAGGTGCTAACTTCCATCCCTCAGACCACAAACCCTCCAAATACAAGTCGTCATTTCCACAATTTTGAAGGTAGCGAGGGGGAGGAACTTAAATCAGGTGTGTTTAATACAATGTATATACTCGTATGTCCAGGATTTTGTTTCATAAATAAGCTGGGAGAAGCCGGGTCCCTCAGCTAGTATTTTGGATATATAAAACTTGTCAGATCAGGAGAGACTTTCACTCGGCAGACTAAAGTTGACCAACACTTCAGAGATTCACAAAGATGGGGAGAATTTGTCTTCCTTGTCTTGTCGTCTTTATCACTACTACACCTGGCTGGACCTGAAGGTGTTGCCACTACTACACCTGGCTGGACCTGAAGGTGTTGTCACTACTACACCTGGCTGGACCTGAAGGTGTTGTCACTACTACACCTGGCTGGACCTGAAGGTGTTGTCACTACTACACCTGGCTGGACCTGAAGGTGTTGTCACTACTACACCTGGCTGGACCTGAAGGTGTTGTCACTACACCAACTCAACAACAGGCAACTCTCACCTTCAAGTCTATAGCGTCTTCAGCTTCTGTTGTATATAATCACATATTAATAATGATCTAATGTAAAAACTTGTACTAGACCGACGCCGTGTTGTGTACATGAGTGTATTATAACCTCTGTGTGTGTGTGTAGTGTGTGTGTGTGTGTGTGTGTGTAGTGTGTGTGTATGTACACAGGATGGTGAAATGCGTCTAGAGTGGCAGCATTATGTTAGTGTTAAGGTACAAGCACTGCTTGTTCCCTGTCGCTTTCAGCTGCCGCCGCTGGCTAGCCCTCGTGGCGAACAGAGAAGCAATTTCCATAAGTCTTCCCCTTCTAGTACACAGCCTCTCACCATCAAGACTCCTGCTGTGCCTCCTCGTGGCAACACATGGTAACTGGGTGCATTGTGGGGCCCAGGCTAGATCAGCAGGGATCTCGGAGTAGCAATGGGCCCCAGAGGGACGGTGCATAGGCCCACTGGCATGTCGACACGTCCTAGCGCCTACCAACCACCGCCCCGCTGCCTTGCGGATTAACCTTGGCAGGTATAAGGCTACGGGAGTAAACCCCAAACGAAAAATCAGCGGTGGAGCCCCGTATCAGGCAGACATGCTTACAGAGCTCCAACAAGACCCCAACGGCGGTATAGGCGGAAGAGGTGACCACCATGGGAACCCAACAACTACACCGGCAGAAGAAGGTAATGCCCGATGGACAAGTTACTAAGGCGAAACCCAACAAACTGGGCTATCGGCAGTCCATTACAACTCTCCCTCTTCCCAGTCGTTGAAACACTTGCACCACTGGATCAGAAGAAGGGAGAGCCAATATGTGTGGTTGGAACTTGCGCTCCTGCCTCACTACATAAATCAACTCAAGGCAGCCGTCACCCAGCTGATTATACGTAACGCCGGCGGGCAATTGAAAAGGTATAAGGATAGTCTTAAGACAAACCTGCAAAAGTGCCAAATCGACCCCCTCACCTGGGAGACGATTACTCCACACCGTAACGCTTGGAGGAGCGCCACACAAGAAGGTGTCAATTCTTTCGAATTAGCCCAACTATAAACCGAGGCAGACAAGCGCCAATGCCGGAAAGACGCTGTCAGCCCCTCCCGCAGTAGATGGAGCCTTCCACGTGTGCAACGAATGTGAACGCCGCTGCGGGTCCCGTATCGGTCTCTTTAGTCACTTCAAAACTTACCAACGTAAGTGATATCCCTACTAACTCTTATCATTGTATCATAACTGGATGATCGGCACACTCGATTCCAAGTGACAGCAAAGTAGTAGTAGTTGTGTGTGTGTGTGTGTGTGTGTGTGTGTGTGTGTGTGTGTCGACCAACCCACCCTACCATCATACCCTCCTAAGTGGTGGCAGGTGTTTAAAACATTATAATATATATTTACATAAAATAAACCAAGATTCTATATTATTAAGAGGTGCTTCATTTACCACCCCGTCACCTCAAGCTTGCCTCATCCACAATATATCCAGGTGATTCAGGTACCCCAACACACCTGTATATCAACTTATCTTCTCCCTAAAATAAAGAAATTATATCGTAATGGGCCAGGTTGGTGTACCAAGTTTCATCACCATCACTTTGTGTGTTCTCCAGGCAACTGGTTCACTATTCGGACTCACACAAAGAACAGAGGTACCGGCGCACTGTACACGTTCAGGTAGGTCATGGTCCCTCCCCCCCCCCACTCCTGTCGCCTCATTACCTGGCAGAAGTCAGGTGGTATCATTAGAGGCGGATCAAACAAACAACTTCAACTCGCGCACACAAGCACAGACACATTCATATACTGTACACACAAGGATACACACAACACACACACACTACACACCACCTACACCCACGCAAACACACATACCCACACACACACGACCACTCACACCCACACATACGCACGACCACCCACACCAACAAACGACCACTCACACGACTACCCACACCCACACCTCCAGATTACCTCCCTCACAAAACCAATAGAACAGGTTATGAGAATCCAATAATCTCAAGACCATTAATGCGATGACAAATGCGTCCATGATTCTACTTTTCTTAACTCCCGGTCTTCTTTTACCTGGCCGGTGGTAATTGGGTGTCGTGTTCCATCTTACTCTCCCGGTGGAGTGACGGGGGTGGGGGTAAGGGGGAGGGGGAGGCGAGAGGGGGTCGGGGGGAAGGAGGGAGGGGGAGGAAGACGATCATGCTTGGGTTGTGGTGATTATCAGATAAATAACGTGACAGATGGTAGAGTTTACAGGTGATTGAGTGCAGGTGTGATCCGTTTACCTGAGGGAGTGAGAGGGGAGGGGGCAGCCAGTTAACCAACCAGCCGACCATGTAACAGTCAACCAGCCAGCCAGGAAATTAAACCATCCAGTCAGCCAGGTAATATGCAGGTAGTCAGCCGGTTCTTTGGTACAGGTGATGACAGAAAAATGATAAAAGACTCCCCCTCGCTGGGTGCCCCCTGAGCTGACCCTAAAGACAGGACCCTGAGTATTGTTCTCTACATCTCCTTATGATGGGCAACAGGTGGACTGGGTCCGAGACCTAAAAGGGAGCCAGTCACAATAGGGTCCCAGTCACAATAGGGTCCCAGTCACAATAGGGTCCCAGTCACAATAGGGTCTCAGTTATAATAGGGTCCCAGTCACAATAGGGTCTCAGTTATAATAGGGTCCCAGTTATAATAGAGTCCCAGTCACAATAGAGTCCTAGTCACAATAGGGTCCCAGTCACAATAGGGTCTCAGTTATAATAGGGTCCCAGTCACAATAGGGTCTCAGTTATAATAGGGTCCCAGTTATAATAGAGTCCCAGTCACAATAGAGTCCTAGTCACAATAGGGTCCCAGTCACAATAGGGGTCCCTAGGCCAGGTCCCAGCTCAACAGAGTCCCAGTCACAACAGGAGTCCAGTCACAATAGAGTCCCAGTCACAATAGGGTCCCAGTCACAAATAGGGTCCCAGTCACAATAGGGTCCCAGTCACAATAGAGTCCCAGTCACAATACAATAGGGTCCCAGTCACAATAGGGTCTCAGTTATAATAGGGTCCCAGTTATAATAGAGTCCCAGTCACAATAGAGTCCCAGTCACAATAGGGTCCCAGTCACAATAGCGTCCCAGTTACAATAGAGTCCCAGTCACAATAGAGTCCCAGTCACAATAGAGTCCCAGTCACAATAGAGTCCCAGTCACAATAGGGTCCCAGTCACAATAGGGTCCCAGTCACAATAGGGTCTCAGTTACAATAGAGTCCCAGTCACAATAGGGTCCCAGTCACAATTTTCCCACGGTACGTAACAATTTTCCCACGGTACGTAACAATTTTCCCACGGTACGAAACAATTTTCCCACGGTACATAATAATTTTCCCACGGTACAAGACAACTTTCCCACATTACACGCCGCGTTGACCCCCAAATACGAAGGTCATTATGTTGAACGAGTTCCGCATGACGTCACAAACATCTCGGTTCACATCGTAACCCAACAAAAACTGGTCTGACCCATTCCAGTCCACACGGGAAAAAAAATGAACCGATGGAGTCATTTGCATACCCCATGGAGGGAAATTTAGGAGAGTGACTGAAGACCCCGAAGAAGTACTGCCATGAAGTAGGATTGTTAAAATAATAAACAACTCCTGATTTATGCACTGTACAGCCCTGTAAATGTATTCAACGCATATTATATCATTATGTCTAAAACAAATGTAAGTCTGTGTATTTTTAGCCACCAGCTGCAACTCTATTAATAAACCGGTTATTATTATTATTATTATTATTATTATTATTATTATTACTATTATTATTATTATTATTATTATTATTAAAATGCTGCCATGAGGTGGAGACATGAGGTGGAGACATATTGCGCTGCTATGAGATACTGCAATGAAGTGTTGCCATGAAGTACTACCATGAGGTACTGCCATGAAATTCCTTTAATGATTTATGTTTTGTTTTTGCCTCAGAAGAAATGAGAAGGTACCTTGATAATTTCTAAACCTGAAAATTAATTAAACCTAACTTAAACCTAAACAATAACCTCGCCTTATCTAAACCTAACCTAACCAAAACCTAACCTAACCTACCCGAACCAAACCTAA